CTACCTCTCCTCTTTTTTCAATTTCTCCTTTTTCACTTCTTTTCTCCTTCTTTTCTACCTCTTATCACTCTCTTCTTTTTTTTCACTTTTGTCTCTTTTCACTTCTCACTTCTTTTCTTCTTTTTTCACTTCTCTTTTTTCACTTCTTTTCACTTCTCTTTTCACTCTTTTCCTTCTTTTCACTCTCACTTCTCTTTTTTTCACTTTCTCTTTTTTCACTTCTCTCTTTTTCTACTTAGTGTATCTTTCTAGCAGTTCGCCGGGTACAGGAGACAGCTGCTCTCTGTACCCGTCGGACTATCAAAGCTGCCGGCCTCGGCCACGCTACAATAGAGGGAGTGACAGGAGGGAGCGCTGAGCGCTGCCCTCCTGTCAGCCCCTCTCCCCATGCTGCACCCGGGCGGTGCGGTCCGCCCTCATGGACGCACCGCCAGGGCAAAGCTGCAGCCGCCTGAGGCTCACTACAGAGCGCTCGGGCGGCTGCAGCATGGGGGGGGGGCGGCGGGGCTGGTCATGGCACCCCCCACCCGGCTGGCACCTGGGGCGGACCGCCCCCTCCGCCCCCCCTTAGTACGCCACTGCCCCTAGGGGAGTGTCCACCAGGTGGGAGACCTGCATAAATACTGGGCAGGTAGCCCTCATTAAACAGACCACTGCTTGACCCTCAACACGGAGCCTTGTCTCGTCTTTGGGGGGATTTACTGTATGCTGCTAAGGACTGATTGCCAGGAGTGTAAGCCGCTTGGGAGCTTTTCCTGTTCGTCTGGTAGCAGCAATTCGTATGGTTCCTGTTCGTGTATTTGGAGTGCTACCTTATTCCCTTGTATGCCGTTCGGGAGTTTGGAGCATTCACTTGTATGCAGTTCGAGTGTTTGGACCATTCCCTTGTATGCAGTTCGAGTGTTTGGAGCATTCCCTTGTATGCCGTTCGGGAGTTTGGAGCATTCACTTGTATTCAGTTCGTGAGTTTTGGTGATTCTACAGTAGCTGTGCCTGTCTCTGAAAGGGGATTATCGTCTAAGCGGTTTTTACCCCTTTTGGTCCGTTACACCTCCCTCTGCATGCAGAGACTGAACTTTCCTCATAGAGATTCATTGATTCAATTCATCTCTATGAGGAGATGCTGATTGGCCAGGGCTGTGTTTGAATCATGCTGCTTCTGCCCCTGATCTGCTTCTTTGTTAATCTCAGCCAATCCTATGGGGAAGCATTGTGATTGGACCAGGCTACCACATGTCAGCAGACTGCTTGTTTTTCCTGAGTCTAACAGCATGCAGATCTACAGCTTCAGGCTTGAATACAGTAAGATTTTTACTATATTTAGGGAGGAATGAGGGGCCCAGGGGGGCTAGATGGTGGTGTTAACACTATAGGGTCAGGAATACATGTTTGTGTTCCTGACCTTATAGTGATCCTTTAATTCAAGTTTGCACTTACGCATGTATAAAAAAGCAGGCTTATCTCCAATTGCAAAGCGGATCAGAGATGAATGCTCCAATCCCTTGGTATTTATCCAAAAGTGCAAATCACCATGCAAAAAGACAAGAATAACAACAAAAAATAAAAATAAAAAATGAAAAGTTCAACTAGATAGCAGCTTATCCAACGCGTTTTGTCCTAAACGGACAGCCCTGAGGAATGTTACTAATTACACTTACTAATAACTATTTACACTCAAAGTATTTTACTTAGAGTGGACGATTTCCATTCAAACAATGGATCATATATAAAATGTGTGTCCCTGAAAAAAAGTTTTTAAGTTCTGGTTTAATGGGTCACAAGGTCTAGATTCAACTGTTACTAACTATCTCCCAAATCTGCATCAAGAGTCTAACTCTGTCACATTTACATATACAGCAGGAACCTTAAACTGTAAACAGTAGCAAATTGTACCAAAACTCAGAAGGAGCTCAACTCGATTCACAAGTCTGTCACGGCTGCTAGGGTGGTCCAACACGCAGAAACTATGTAAACCTATACATAAAAAAAGGAAAGGAAATAAAAGGACAGAGCGTAAACCGGACCTTAGAATGTCCGGAATAGTGAAAGTATGTTTCTTTATACATGCTAACGGCACAGCGCTGTCGCGCTTCCAATTTGTGCGGGTTTTCCGTTTGGGCTTACAGAAGTTAGGAATGGATCCTATGCAGTTCGGAACTCATTCATTCCGTATAGGTGCAGCGACTGAAGCAAAATTGGTAGGCCAAGGTCTAGGCTGGAGTAGGCCGGATTTAAAAGTGTGGAGGTAGGTTCGAGCCCATCGGTGGCTACGAATCAAGGGGTGTAGGGGTGTCTGAGTACACCCCTGCAGTTAGACAAATGGAGGTGGGGCCTCTTGGTAGGCCGTGAGTTACATGATATGTATTATTGGTTATGTTAACGTTTGTTCTCTGGTATGGTCATTGTCGGGGGTATGGTACAGGAGAGAGCGGAACGAAAGGAGTACTGTTGACAATGACCCTAAATTGTTAATTTATATATTTATATTAATTAATAAAGCTGTGGACTTTATACTCCAACAGAACTTATGGGTGTCTGAGTGTTATTAAAGTTAAAGGTTGGCACATGCCGAATAACGACTGTGCAATAATGTCAAGTGACCAGACCCCCCATTTCCCATGGTGACTATCTCCTGGACTATTATGTCACAATTTGCTTCAAGTACATAAGTTAATTGCTTGATCTGTGGGACTACACATTAATCTCTGGACTTGCATTTACTCCTACTCAATAATCTAAACCAAATAGTGAACCTGAAAAAAGGAAACTATATATGGTGAAGTATCTAATGATGTCACCAAAGCGCCCAGGATGGAGAGAACTTACAAAATAGATGAATAAAGTAGACCTGTCTCCCCTCAGGAGTATTTCCAGGAGTGCTGGTGTCTTCCAATACAGTTCCTCAAAGAATATAAAAGGAAGAACACATGCAATATGTATATAAAATAAATTAAATTTAAAGGGACACTATAGTCACCTGAACAACTTCAGTTTAATGAGGTAGTTCAGGTGAGAACTATAGCTCCCTGCAGCCTTTCTCATGTAAACACGGTATTTTCTGAGAAAATACAGTGTTTACATTGAAAGCTAGGAACACGTCCAGTTGCAGTCACTCAGAGTGAACCAAAGGGACTTCGGAGTTGATGGAGGCATAATATGCCTCCATCCACTCAGATCTGCTGTCAGCAGAGCACAGGGCAGCACTGTGCACAGCATCCTGTGATTCAGTATCTCCTCCTGTGACGAGACCAATCTCGCCACATTGCATTGGAGGAGCCTAGTTGCCCGCCTGCTGCCTTTGGATTATGGACCGGCAGTTAAATGGTTAATTTTACTGTGCAGAAAGATTTATTCCTTCCTTTCTGCACAGCCGTTCGGTAGATTCTATCTACCGAACAAACAGACTTCTATCAGCCTCCCCAGAGCCGTGGGAAGTCGGCCGGCGCCGTTAATTGGCCACCCAGAAGCTGGCGTGTGCCCTCCATTTACCTCCCTGAACGAGCGTGTGCCGGCAATTGACCACCCAGTAGCTGCGGTTAACCGCAGCTTAATTGACTGTTACTGGGTGGTCGCGGTTACACCTAGCCGCCACACGATGGCGATGTTCTGGAGCTCCCCGGGCAGCCAGCGCTTTTCTGCCCGGCTTTCCTACGCCAAATCTGGACACTGTGTCAGCTAAGCACCGCTGAGCCTCCAGCCCCTGGTTCTGATTCGTACCAATTTAACGAATGTATGTAGATTCGGTATTTTGTGTTGGGGGAAATGTTTTAACCCAGATAGCTATGCCATGGAGCCTATTCGTGTAATTAAAGAATTTGGCCCCATGGCAATTAAACTGTATTCGTGTGGTCTGAGTGCCATTCACCTAATAATGTGCACTCAGACCTGAGCTATCTGGGGATATGTTACATGTCTGTGTTTTATGTAGTAAATGTTACTTTATGTATTTTAAAGTATAATACTGGTTTTGTGTCCCCACATGTGTAATGGAGTTTTGCCTTTGTCTTGGGAGATAATTGAGTTACTTCTCAATTATCTCTCAGGGCAGAGGGGAGGAAGCCAGGTTGCATTGTGGGAATATACTGTGACTGTGTGTCCTATTTGTCTACTTGTCTGTCCCTTGTCACAGTCTCCCATTTGGTCCCCTAGGCAGGGGCGTACCTAGAGCATTTGGCACCCGGGGCGGATCCTGTGCTTGGAACCCCCTCCAAAAAACCTGTAAAAAAATTTAAAGGTTCTTTTTTTTTTTCTTACAATTTGTAAAGACTCCTGTCCCAATACAAAACCCCCGCCCCCTTCTACAAAATCCCTGCAGCCCCACACACACATTTACAGGCAGACAGTCACATACAGTCATTAGGTGGCAGACAGTCACATTATTGCCAATATTTCCTCCTAAGTGCCAGTTTATCAGCTGTTTGTTTGTGTGAGTTGTAATTGGCCGCATTTTGCACCCTAACTACCATGGGACACTGTAAAGGGCCATTAGCTCACACGTCTCTCCAGCCAGGGGCCGTGCAAGGATTTTTGCCGCCTCTAGTAAAAGTAAAGTTTGTCAGCTTCCCCATGTGATACATCACACAATGCCCCACCCATATGATTTGCTATGTTAACTAACGCCAGTGCTGCAGTGCCGCCGTGTTTACATTAAAAGGCCTGCAGGGACAGGCTATAGACACTAGAACCACTACATTAAGCTGAAGTGGTTCTGGGGACTATAGTGTTTCTTTAATGTGAGGTAAATTAGAGCTTAGTGCCACGAATAATATCCTAGATTGCCTACTTACAACCAGATGAGGATGATGATGGGCTCTAGCTGCAGTCTGGCTCCATTGGTCTGGTGCAGAACAGGCTCTCTGGAGGCGGTTTGTAACTGTGGTCACAAAAATCAATGTTCTGGGAGAACGGGAAGCAGCTCCATTTTTTGGGGGTCCTTTACACAGCTCAAGGTCTGGGTCCCAGGGTCCACCTTCATGTTCCACCAATGAGTTTGTTCACAGGGGTGGAGTGTGTAGGGGATGTCCTGATATGTGTGTAAGGAATGCATTGTGTGAAATTGTGTTTATATGTGTAAGGGCTGCAAGGTGTGTTTCTGTGTATGTATGGGATGCATTGAATGTGTGTAAGGGGTGCATTGAGTGTGTGTAATGAATGCATTGTGTGTTTCTGTGTGTGTAAGGGATGCATTGTGTGTAACGGTTGCATTGTTTGTGTATGTGTGTCTGTGTGTTTTTCTGTGTGCAAGGGGTGCATTGTGTGTATGTGATGAATGTCAATCTCTCCTCCCGCTCCAATTTCCTTCTCCTCCTCCCAATTTCTCTTTCTCACCCCCCTCCTAATTTCTCTTTCCCCCCTCCTAATATCTCTTCCCCCCTCCTCATTTCAAATTCTCTCCCCCCCTAATTTCTATTTCTCTCCCCCCTCCTAATATCTCTCCCTCCTCCTAATATCTCTCCCTCCCTCCTAATTTCTCTTCCCCTCTCCTAATTTCTCTTCCCCCCTCTCCTTTCTCACCCCCCCTCTCCTTTCTCTTCCCCTCCTTTCTCTTCCTCTCTTTTCTTCTTCCTCCTTTTCTCCCCTCCTCCTTTCTCTTCTTCCTCCTTTTCTTTCTCTACCCTCTCTCACCTCTTTCTCCTTTTTCTTACCCTCTCTCTTCCTCTTTTTTTCTACCTCTCCTTTTTCACCTCTCTTTTCTCCCTTTCTTTTCACCTCTCCTTATCACTCTCTCTTTCTTTTTTTCACTTCTTTGTCTCTTTCTGCGCCCTTCTCTCACTCTTTTCCTTTTTTTCTACCCTCTTTTTCTTTTTCACTTTTCTCTTTTCACCCCTTCTCTTTTTTTCACTCTTTTCTCCCTTTTTCACTTTCTCTACCTCTTCTCTCTTTTTCACCTCTCTCCTCTTTTTCACCCCCCCCTTTCTCCTCTTCCACCCCCAGTGTGCACTTCCTGTTAGTCCGGCCGGGTACAGGAGACAGCTGCTCTCTGTACCCGTCGGACTATCAAAGCTGCCGGCCTCGGCCACGCTACAATAGAGGGAGTGACAGGAGGGAGCGCTGAGCGCTGCCCTCCTGTCAGCCCCTCTCCCCATGCTGCACCCGGGCGGTGCGGTCCGCCCTCATGGACGCACCGCCAGGGCAAAGCTGCAGCCGCCTGAGGCTCACTACAGAGCGCTCGGGCGGCTGCAGCATGGGGGGGGGGCGGCGGGGCTGGTCATGGCACCCCCCACCCGGCTGGCACCTGGGGCGGACCGCCCCCTCCGCCCCCCCTTAGTACGCCACTGCCCCTAGGGGAGTGTCCACCAGGTGGGAGACCTGTATAAATACTGGGCAGGTAGCCCTCATTAAACAGACCACTGCTTGACCCTCAACACGGAGCCTTGTCTCGTCTTTGGGGGGATTTACTGTATGCTGCTAAGGACTGATTGCCAGGAGTGTAAGCCGCTTGGGGAGCTTTTCCTGTTCGTCTGCTAGCAGCTATTCGTATGGTTCCTGTTCGTTTATTTGAAGTGCTACCTTATTCCCTTGTATGCCGTTCGGGAGTTTGGAGCATTCACTTGTATGCAGTTCGAGAGTTTGGACCATTCCCTTGTATGCAGTTCGAGTGTTTGGAGCATTCCCTTGTATGCCGTTCGGGAGTTTGGAGCATTCACTTGTATTCAGTTCGTGAGTTTTGGTGATTCTACAGTAGCTGTGCCTGTCTCTGAAAGGGGATTATCGTCTAAGCGGTTTTTACCCCTTTTGGTCCGTTACACCTCCCTCTGCATGCAGAGACTGAACTTTCCTCATAGAGATTCATTGATTCAATTCATCTCTATGAGGAGATGCTGATTGGCCAGGGCTGTGTTTGAATCATGCTGCTTCTGCCCCTGATCTGCTTCTTTGTTAATCTCAGCCAATCCTATGGGGAAGCATTGTGATTGGACCAGGCTACCACATGTCAGCAGACTGCTTGTTTTTCCTGAGTCTAACAGCATGCAGATCTACAGCTTCAGGCTTGAATACAGTAAGATTTTTACTATATTTAGGGAGGAATGAGGGGCCCAGGGGGGCTAGATGGTGGTGTTAACACTATAGGGTCAGGAATACATGTTTGTGTTCCTGACCTTATAGTGATCCTTTAATTCAAGTTTGCACTTACGCATGTATAAAAAAGCAGGCTTATCTCCAATTGCAAAGCGGATCAGAGATGAATGCTCCAATCCCTTGGTATTTATCCAAAAGTGCAAATCACCATGCAAAAAGACAAGAATAACAACAAAAAATAAAAATAAAAAATGAAAAGTTCAACTAGATAGCAGCTTATCCAACGCGTTTTGTCCTAAACGGACAGCCCTGAGGAATGTTACTAATTACACTTACTAATAACTATTTACACTCAAAGTATTTTACTTAGAGTGGACGATTTCCATTCAAACAATGGATCATATATAAAATGTGTGTCCCTGAAAAAAAGTTTTTAAGTTCTGGTTTAATGGGTCACAAGGTCTAGATTCAACTGTTACTAACTATCTCCCAAATCTGCATCAAGAGTCTAACTCTGTCACATTTACATATACAGCAGGAACCTTAAACTGTAAACAGTAGCAAATTGTACCAAAACTCAGAAGGAGCTCAACTCGATTCACAAGTCTGTCACGGCTGCTAGGGTGGTCCAACACGCAGAAACTATGTAAACCTATACATAAAAAAAGGAAAGGAAATAAAAGGACAGAGCGTAAACCGGACCTTAGAATGTCCGGAATAATACGCTAGAGATAGAGAATAGTCAAAGGGAAAGCCGAGGAACCAGAATTCGGAATAACCAGGGAAAAGCCAAGATCAGGATACCAGGAAGTCAGATTCACAAAGATAAACGCACTCTCGGGAACCAGGAACAGAAAACCACGACAGGGCAAGTAACTGGAGTGAAGTAGGGATTTAAATATCCCTCTCTGGGCTCTGATTGGTCAGAGGGTGACCTCTGACCCCAGAATGTGCGTGTGCGTTGACGTTGTGACGCCACGCGCACGTCCTTATAAATTTGAGGGGCGGAGCTTGTGGTGTGCGCGATCACGTGGTCAGCGCCATCTTTGATTTGGGTGCAACGCCCAGAAGACGCAGAGGAGCAGTTCCCAGCGAGCAGGTATGCTCGCAATGTCGGCGAGGTCGCGCCGGTCGGGCACGGCTGCGCCATGCAAAAACCACTCACCGGGCGGGAAGGAGCCGGCTTATGAGGGAAGCAGTTGTGAAACGACCGGATAAGACGGGCACATGAACCTGGTCAGCAGGAACCCAACAACGTTCCTCAGGACCATAACCTTTCCAGTCAACTAGATAAGACAAAATACCCCTGGAGATTTTGGAGTCCAATATAGAACAAACTTCGTACTCCTCCTGATCACCCACTACCAAGGGCGGAGTAGGGGCAGCCACTTTAGTGTAGAGGCTTAAGCAAGGACACATGAAATTAATTGGCAATTCTCATGTGAGCAGGAAGTGCCAATGAATAAGTCACAGGGTTGATACGATGGAGAACCCGAAAAGGACCTATGTATCGAGGGGCAAATTTCATGGAAGAAACCTTAAGTTTGACATGACGTGTGGATAACCACACCTTGTCTCCTGGTTGATAGACAGGATTGGCACCACGTCTCTTGTCAGCTTGGATTTTAGCACATTTTGATGCCTTCTGTAATGCTGTATGAACGGAATCCCATATGTCATGAATAGAATCCAAACGGGTGTTCAGGGCAGGAATATCAGTGTCTGAAAATTCAGAAGATAAAACAGTGGGGTGATAACCCTGATTTACAAAAAATGGACTATGATTAGAGGATTCATGAGTCGCATTTCTGGCAAACTCAGCAATGGGTAAGAGTTCGTAACAGTTAGACTGATTGGCATCGATAAAACAACGTAAATAAGATTCTAAAGACTGATTGGCCCTCTCTGCTGCGCCATTAGTCTGAGGGTGATACGCTGAGGAAAGTGGAGTATTAGGTATCGGCAGTGGTTGTAGCAGCCCAGGAGGAGATTTGTGAGAGGCTTTAGAAATGTCACATATTTGACATGCCCCTACATAAGCTTTGATGTCGTTCCTAAGTGTAGGCCACCAGAACCTCTTGGAGATAGCAGAGAGAGTTTTATGGACTCCAGGATGACCTGCTGTCAAATTATCATGGAATAATCCAAGTACCTTTTTCCTTAAAGGTGGTGAAAAGTTTACATTCTGGAGGTATGATAGGGAATATCTCTTGTTCAGGAACCTCATCTGTCTCAAACTGCCTAGACAGCGCATCTGCCTTGGTGTTCTTGGTCCTGGGCCTGTACGTAATTACAAAATTGAATTGGGAGAGGAATAATGACCATCTAGCCTGACGAGAGGACAATCCCTTAGCGCCCCCAAAATAAGCCAAATTCTTCTGATCGGTAAAAATCAGAAGTGGCTCTTTGGAGCCTTCTAAGAGATGTCTCCATTCTTTAAGGGCAATAACTCCCTATTTCCAATGTCATAATTTTTCTCTGTAAATGTTAGTTTTCGAGAGAAAAACCCACAGGGATGTAAAGGAGTATCAGGACTTTCTCTTTGAGACAGAATAGCTCCTGCTCCTGTTTCTGAGGCATCTACTTCTAGAATAAATGGTTTGGTTGGATCGGGATTTGTCAGGACAGGTGCTGAAGCAAATAAAGATTTTAATTGCTCAAATGCCTCCTTTGCTTCCTTGGGACATGAATTGCAATTTGCTCCTTTTTTGGTTAGGTTGGTAATAGGAGAGATTACAGAGGAAAAACCTTTAATGAACTTGCGGTAATAATTTGCAAAACCTATAAAGCGTTGTGTAGCTTTAAGACCTTTGGGTAATGGCCATTGTAAGACTGCTTCCAATTTGAGTGGGTCCATTTTGAAACCAGACGGAGAAATAACGTACCCAAGAAATTGTATCTCAGTCTGGTCAAATTGGCATTTCTCCAGCTTACAGTAGAGGCCGTTCTTTAATAGGGTTTTTAGTACTGTTCTCACATGTTCGTGATGTGTCTCTAAATCCGGGGAATAGATGAGAATGTCGTCTAGATACACTAAAACGAACATGTGGAGATATTCTCTAAGGACATCGTTAATGAAATCCTGAAACACCGCTGGGGCGTTGCACAGTCCAAACGGCATAACTAGGTATTCGTAATGTCCCATTCTCGTATTAAACGCGGTCATCCACTCGTACCCTTCCTTACTTCTGACTAGGTTATAAGCACTTCTGAGGTCGAGCTTAGTGAAGAATCGGGCCC